TCCCCTAGGGCAAAGGAAACTAAAGAGAAAATAAACAAATGGGACTACATCAAAATAAAAAGCTTTTGCACAGCAAAGGAAACCATCAACAAAACAACAAGAATACCCACTGCATGGGAGAACATATTTGCAAATGTTATCACCGATAAGGGTTTAATATCCAACATTTACTGGGAACTCATACAACTTAAAAAAAGGAAGATAAACAACCTTATATTTGTTTTTAAGTTAAATTTACTTTTGTGTGAGTTTTCTAAAAGCAAAACCGATTGCTCCCATTTTATGAATGAATGAGGATTGTAGACCTGGCAAGGGAAAAAGGGGAAGGTGGTGACCACTGAGCTTCCATCATGTTCAGGAACCTGGTGAGGAGCTTTCCATGCATTGTTTCCTTAAATGGAGCTCTTTCATACCAACAACCAATAGGTAATGTCAAACACACACACATTGCCATGAGGTGGGAGAGACATTTTAAAAAAAATCATTTTATTGATTTTTTTACAGAGAGGAAGGGAGAGGGATAGAGAGTTAGAAACATTGATCAGCTGCCTCCTGCACACCCCCTACTGGGGATGTGCCCGCAGCCAAGGTACATGCCCTTGACCGGAATTGAACCTGGAATCCTTTAGTCCGCAGGCCGATGCTCTATCTACTGAGCCAAACTAGTCAGGGCTGGAGAGACATTTTTTAAAACTTTATTTTTTTACATCCAGAACGCTGGGGGGAGTTTTATAATTTAGTCTTTCTTCCTCTGAAATATAACTGAGACAGATGACGTTACAAAATCAATAAAAGGAAAGGATTCTTTAACAAAAAACAATAACAACAGAGCAATGAGTATACCATTTTCATGAAAAAAGTGCCACCTTGAAGAGTCAGTAGGGGGATGTTAAGTTGATTGTTATTAAGGTATTGTGCCAGTCACAGGGCATATGTTGTCAGCCTTGTCTTTGTTGGCTGATTTCCCCAAATGGGAATGAAGGAAGGGAGCTGGCCTGTAAGGGAGAATGGAGATGGAATCCTTCTCAACCCTGTGGCTTTGTCAGGCTGCCCAGAGGCTCCTGGCCAGTGAACATGCTGCTGGGATAGTGGCATGCCCAGATTCTATGGAGAAAGGGCACAGGGGCTCTGTATCCTGCCCCTGCACTCCTAGATCGTCCCCGGTATACCTCTTCCTTTAGCTGCTGATCTGCATTCTTTGTATTAAAGCTGTAATAAAAGTGCAGTGCTTTCAGGGAATTCTGTGAGTTGTTCTAACACGTGATCAAACCTGCAGGGATAGTGGGAATTCCTGAATTTATAGCCGGTCAGTCAGAAACACATGTAGCCTCTGAGACTTGTGACTGGCACCAGAGGGGGAAGCAATCTTTTCGAAGAATTTGCCCTTCACCTGTGGGGTCTGTGTTAATGCCAAGTAGTGTCAACATGGACACGTGGGGTGGAAATGGAACATAATTACACTTTTGCTTATAACACCACTTTTTATTTCCCACATGATGTAAAAGATAGATGCATAAAATCAAAGATAGATGCAATAAATCTGTTAATTTGGCACAGAATGGATAAAGATGAGGACAGAGCTAGGCAAAGGAACACTCTTCATTGCCATTGAGGTGCTGTTCCCACACACCAGGTGAGTGAGACTAGTGTGTGCAGAACTCCTTCTGCCTAGAAGCCCTAGAGGCACACCTGAACACACTTTTTTCCTTATCCTCTTGACTTGCCTTTGCCAAGGAAAGCAAAGGTACGTTTCTCTTTGAGGTCTAGAGCTGGTCTACTTGGCCCTTCCCAGATAGGCTTGTTTTTAAGCAAGAGCAGCCACAAAGAGACTTCCAGAAAAATGGCATGTCAGAGAAACCATTTACCTAGGGCCATCTGTGTTGCAACAGTTGTTCTTGCTTGAGACTTTTCTGTAGTAGCACTCCTTATGGGGGGCCCAATCGGAAGACTAGAAAGTGAAGGAGCCAGGCCCAGATAGGATTTAGCCCCATCTGACACATGAGACAGCAGAACCAGACATGGAGAAGATGTATGACCTGCATTACTGGTTTACTTGCTTTCTATCCTTTTCTGCTGTTGTTTTTACTGTATTCATTAGGGTTGGGAGGAGGACCAAATATTATCATTATTTAACTTGACTCTTAAGCCTCCAATATTTTTATTAGGTTTTTAAAAAAATAAAGCAAACATATTCCCCAAATGTTCTGTGGAATAATAATGCTATTAAGCATCTCTATAGGCAAAAAGTGAATCCTTTGCTTACTGAAGGCATAGAAAATTCTCATTGTTAGACACGCCCTTCCAAGATGTTGGCCAGTTCAAGCAGCCTTGCTACTAGAACAAAGAAACTGCCCAACCCAAGAGTTTCTTATCTATCCATCCATCCACTCATATACTCTAAATAATTTTGGGAGGGAACCTGCAGTAGAATAATATGATAAAGAAAATAAAAATATAATTCATTAGCCCATGATTTAAAAGATCATCAACCTTTTGATAAATATTTTTCTGTGCTTAACCACTCAAATATTTGTAACACTTGAGCCATTCTTACACTCTTATAATTTTGTTTTGGGGTTCACTTATGTGAATATCTTCCATATTGATAAATATTTTTCTGTATCATCATTTTCATGGCTTCTTAGTATTCCAGCCTACCACATCATGCCATAACTAGTCTAAGTGTTCCTAGAGGCACACCTGTACACACACCTCATTGTCCATTTAGGTCAGTTCTAATTGCATATGTACCTTATGGGGCTTCAAGTGTGTGCGCTTCATCATAGACCCAGAGGGCAGGATTCCAGGATCTCAAGGTGCCAAGAGAACCTCTTTCTAGGTGTCTCAGTAGCTAATGTACTCTGCTGAATGATGAATCTGAAATGTGGCCAGCTTCTCCTTACCCAAGTTACATTATCCCAACTTTGCCAATCTGCTCTTTTGGGGCCACTAGACTCATGGAGTCTACTCCTGGGTGAGTCCTTCTACCAAGGAGACAGATGCCTCAAGTCTTGGAGCAAAAACTTCTTCTTTGGCAGAATCCTTAAGTCTGTCTGCTACGAGGGCTCCTGGTATAGTTTAACTGTTACCTGAGTGGCCCAAGACAACAGAGCTTCTTCCATCATGTTCATGTCCGTAGACTTGAGTATCTTGATTTGCTATGTACAGGAATCCCCAAAGGTCTGGGGTGGACTATTGTACCCTGTGCACCAGGAACAAGCTCCCCAGAATTTGCCTTATTTAAAAGAACTCTGAAGCCTTGCACCTCAAGTGTTGTCCTTAGACAAGTATCAGCTTTCCTGAGAACTTGTTTGAAATGCAGATCTTGGACCCACTCCAGAGTCACTAAATCAGAAGTCCAAGTTCAAGAAGCACTGCACCATCCTAGCTGAAATAGCATCCCTGGCTTGTCATTCGATCCCCTGAGGATCCAACTGAACCTAATCCTGGAGGGCTAGGATTAAAGCTGGACTCCAGCCCAGAGCTTCTTCATAAGGTGCACACACATCCCCTGGGGATCTTGATCTTGATGACATGCAGACTCTGATTTAGTAGGTTTGGTTTTGAGCCTGGGATCCTGCATTTGTCACTCGCTCCCAGGTGATGCTAATACTGTTGGTCCATGGACCACATTTCGAGTAGCAAGAGACTAGTATTTCTTAAAACTTGTCAAACTGTAAATATCACCGAAGCACTTACTAAAAATACAGATTCCCTGACCATAGTCTAGACCTGCTACATCAGAATTTACCAACTCCTAGGGTGACTTTTACAATTAGATAAAGTTGAGGAATACTAAGAGAGGGAGAGCAGAGCTAAATGTGCTCCTTAAAGGATGAGGGGATGAAGCACTGTGATGCAGCTAAAAGATACTGACAGGCACCAATGGACACACCCTTGTCTCTCACCCCTAAAGCGAAGGGGGATCTGTGTTTCGTGTAGTGGTGATCATCAGGTCAGTATTTGCCCTGTAATGGATGCAGAGCCTCCTGGCTTCTCTCTCTGGTACCACTTGAGTGTTTATAGCATTTTCATAGAGTTCAACCCCAGAGTCCATGAGCACAGACTGGCAGCCCCACTCCAAGGCAGAGGTCCCCAAAAAGCCATTCACTCTGCTAATGGTTCTGTAAAGGAATTGGCTTCTTGGGCCAAGGAAACACACAACACTCCACTGCATGGGAATCAGAGGTTCTCAGAGGAAAAATGAGAATGTAGGGAGTGGCAACGCTCTGAGTGTCTGTCCCTTCCTTGGACTCCTCTGTCTTGTTGCTGTCACCATATTGATGACCTCCAGGGCGTGCTCATTCTCCTTTCTCACTAGCTCTAGCACAAAACAAAAGCCACTAATTCATTTGTTCACCCAAGGAGAGAAACCCACCAAAACCCACCACAAACCAAAACAACACACGCCATTTTGTCTCGGTTACAGGACAGGGGTGCTTGATTCTGGTCTCAGTGCTGACATGGAGCTAAGAGAAAGAAAACGTGGCTGGTTAGTCAGGAATTGGCCATTGGCAGCAGTTTCCAGAGTCCTTGCAATGGCTTTGTACGATGGGATCAACAACCGTGTGATGGAGTTGGCAATGAAAACTACAACAAGGGGGATGATTATCAGCAAGACAGTTCAAACCCTAGAAACACATTCTCAAATAATTGTTAAGCATGCAATATTTGCTAACCACCTGATTAGATGCTGCAAATTCAAAGGATCAAGATAAGTAATAAAAAGTGCATATCTCGTAACAACGTCTGATGTAAAGTGAGCATATGTTAGCTATTAGCATCTCAAACCCACCTCCATACTGACTATAACAAGGCTTTCCATTAAAAAATTCATAGCCCCAAAGGTGAGATATTTTGCCTGAGATGCTTAATACTCAACCGATAGGTCCTGCTTCACACTGCAAGTAAAAACTTGTCTTTTTCCTTTGAACAGACTGACTTCATATTACTTTAGGAAAGATTCATTGAAACAAAGAAATAACATACCCAAGATATAGTGTTTTTAAAAACATTTTTTTTAATGAAGAAATAATTCCATTCCAAAATATAGACACACAATTAAATAGTTTAATCACTTCAAAATATAACATGTCCCCAGGAGGTTCCAACACACACACACACACGCGCGCGCACACACACACACAAAACAATACTTAACAGCAATACAAAAAACCCATACAATAGTAGTTCTGTTACAATACCAATGAATATCATGAAATCTTTAGGGACTCTGTATTGGTTACTTCAAATGGTGTCAAATTACAGTAGTCATAATTAAAAATGTCTTACAGTTAATTAGCCTCAAGATATGACGCTTCTGATTCCCCCCCCCCCCTTTTTGGTTCAAAAGTAAAAATGCCCTTTCTTCTGAGGACACTGGAGTTCTTGTTTGTGGCTCCTTGCGTGGAATCGAACCAAGGTGATTGCAGCAACCAAAAGTTGCCGTATTTACAATGTTTATCTACAGTGGACAGCCAAGAACTAATAAGGGTGGACAAAGATGATCAAAATAAAGGCGGACATCAGTGCTAAATTATGATGCTACAGCTTGGCTCATGCATATAAGAAAATACATAGTATATCACAACAAAGGCCACACTCGTATGCAATTAAGTTCACATTACTACTTACAAATGAACCTTCCCTGCCTTATCGTTCGAGAATCCATTTTTCACAATCTCCAGCACATCTCCCTCTGACCAACCAAACGTACCCCGACTTCCATCCTGACCAACCACAACTGATTCCTGAATCCCATACAGTAGACTTCACCCTCCTCCCTCCCTCCGTGAACATGGCGCTGTGGAGGAGGGTTGGCTGTGTTAGACCAGTGCTCATATAGGCCATCATCCCTGATGGAGATGGGTGTGCAATGCATGTGGAACAAGGAACACCCCCGCAAGATATAATTGTATCTAATGCACGGGACAGGTAACACCTGCTGGGTTTGCTCTCAGAACAGGCCCCAAAAGTAAATTTGGAGAACCAAGGAGAGAAACCCGCCAAAAACCACCACAAACCAAAACAACACACGCCATTTTGTCTCGGTTACAGGACAGGGGTGCTTGATTCTGGTCTCAGTGCTGACGTGGAGCTAAGAGAAAGAAAAGGTGGCTGGTTAGTGAGGAATTGGCCATTGGCAGCAGTTTCCAGAGTCCTTGCAATGGCTTTGTACGATGGGATCAACAACCGTGTGATGGAGTTGGCAATGAAAACTACGACAAGGGGGATGATTATCAGCAAGATAATCCCGAGACGGACATAGAAACCACAAAGGGACAACAGATGCCAGCTCAGTCCAGTCGGTGGCTGCCTGCCACCTGCAGGGTCACAGTTCTGAGTTCAAGAACTACCTGGCTATGATTGAGAGCTGACAGCAATGCAGGTAGCTGGGATGTAGTGGTTTTAAGTATTGAGTATGAGGCAGCAGGGACCATCTGCTCCATCTAGAGAGGTACGGCTTCACAGAAGATGGGCAGTGGAAAGGAGATGAACATGAAGAGACATGGACAAAACCCGCAATGAAATCCACCTGTGCAAAGAAATCTGAGAACTGTGCAGTGGTGCCACTTTGGTGTCAGCCTGGTTCTCTGGAAGGAGGTCTGGTTAAGCCCATCAATAGCTAGAATGGGCTCCTTACTAATGTCAACCAAGAGCTTTGCTATCCCCAAGGCAAGTGATGTTGTTCTAAAGGGCAGCCAAGGAGATGGTTTCTGACCAAATGCAGAGATGGGGACATCTCAGGGCTCTCTGGAGAGGGAGCAGGAAGATGTCAGGGTGTGCATTCTCAGCTAGGCATCCGCCCACCCCCCACCTGTGTGGGGTGGGAGGAGGTTTCTGCCAGCTCGGGAAGCAAATCAAATTGCGGAAGCTTTAAGGTTGACACAGCACCTTCCTTGTTTATTCTGAGTAAGGCCTTTGCAGAGACTTTACAACCTCATCCTACAGCAGTGGTTCTCAACCTCTAGTGCATCAGCATGACCTGCGTGCTTCATGAGACACAGATTGGGGCCTGACGCCCAGAGTTTCTGATTCTATGGGCCTGGGTTCGGGCCCAAGAATTTGCATTTCTAAATAAATTCCCAGGTGATGCTGATGTGCTCGGGTCCAGGGAACACAATTTGAGAACCACTGTTCTAAAATGACGTTCTCTTCTTTCTTTGAAAGGAGGGCAGGAATTCCAGAGCAGCTGCCGATTTAAGCACGATGGATCTAACCTATTGCAAGATTTTTAATTGCATCAAGTCTTGAAAAAGATGGGTTATTTTTTTTCCATTTCCCAAGAATCCCTAAGGGAGGTTGTTGGTGCTCCTCCAAGAGGGTCCTCATAAAGGACCATCGACAGTCTTTCACTCTCCCTTCGTCGACAGCTCTTTTGCACACCAGCTTCTCCCTGAGTGCAAAACCCCGACGCCACGGAGAAGAGCCTGTTTCCTTTCACGTGACCACAGAAGGCTGCATGCAGAACACTGGGGCGCCAGCGAAGGCAATACACATTCAGAAATGAAAGGAGTGAACGTTTTTGCAAGCGCACTTTAAGCCTGTACAGTGAGAGCTGAAGGCCTCCAGACGACCTGACGGCGGGGCGGGGTGGGGAGGGGGCACCTGTGGGCGAGCGGTGCGGTGAGACATGCTCCCTAAAGCTAACCCGAGAGGAACAAGCCATGGAAGAGCAGAGGCCACTGCAGTCCGGGTGGGGGTCGTATGGCACCTGTGGTTTATAGACAGCTTTAGTCACGAGTATTTCAAAACATAGTTCACAGTTTTAAGAAGATCTGTGCTGATTTTAAAAACTAGATTCTATATAATTTGCACGTTGTCTTATTTTGAATATGATCTCTATTTGGAAAAAGTATTTACACTAAATTCTATGGCTGATTCGCTAGAGTATCTTGAAAGAAAACAACCTCCAGTTGGAAAGAAGCCCCACAGACTGGGTTATCCCGGTGTGTCTGGCTCCAGTCGCTGTTCACAGGACTCGGAGACCCTGGCAGACAGTGCAGGCCCCGGCCCTCCGCGCCTGCACACTCAGGACCCAGGTCCTTCTGGGTCAATGAAGAATTGCAAGGGGTTGTTTTGTCCCAATTACTGTGGAAAACAATGTACATCGTATAATAAACTGGTTTGCTAAAATCTCAAAGAATTCAGAAATCAAATCCTAGCTATAAACAGTATTAATATTGTCATTGTAAACGGAACAGGTTCAATATCATGTGCAAATGATATTGAAAATGCTTGTTAATACTGCCACCGTGAGTAACAGCAGCGTGGGTTTTCGGCCTGCGGTTTTTTTGTTTTTTGTTTTTAACCAGGGATGAGCCATGTTATAGAAGATGTAGCTGATAAGTTAGCTTTGAACAGAAGTCTTTTTTTTTTCCCTTCTTAACACACACACCTATGAACTACACATCAGAGAACGAAACATTGGCTGCACTACAGTCAGCAGAGCACGTCTTTAGGGGCGGGTGTGCCGGGAGCTGCTGCGCGGGGTGGTTCCTCTCCCAGGCGCTGCCAGGCCGCTTCTCCTCTGGGTGGGTGGTGGGCGCAGCGCTCCCCTTCGTCGCCAGCGCTCATGTTACTCTCATCATCTGTCTGACTACAGTTTGCCTGGGAATAAGGAATGTGTAATTTTTTTAAAGATGAAAACTGTTCTCTAAGTCAGGAAGCTTAGGACCCTCCCTTTCCCCCGAGACACAACACACACACGCACACACACACACACACACACACGCGCGCGCGCACGCACACACACGCACACACACGCGCACGCGCGCATGCATGCGCACACACATGCACACACACACATGCACGCACATACAGGCACACGCACACACACACCCTCTACTCACTTCCTCTGATAATCGGGGATGAGTGTCTTGGGGTAGTGCGTGCTAGGTATCGCACCTTCTGAAAGAGGACAAGAACCTCCTGTTGAGTCCCCGGCTCAGTGGGGACTGAGAATATCTTTTTTCTAAGAAGTCACTACTGATGTTTAAATAATGGGCCCCTGTGGCCCCTGGAGGTTAGGGCGACGCAGAGGTGGCCTTAGGACAAGGAGATGAGAGCACTGACTCACCAGCAGAATGCCCTGCTCTTTTTTTTTTTTTAAATCCACTTTTGATCTTCAAATCCCCCAATTTCTGAAGCTAGGCTCTGGCCGGCCGGGGAGAGTGCAGTAGCAGGCGACCAGAGGGATGGAAAAGGACAAATCCAAGATCTGAGTGGGCCCAATGGAGCTGTGGTGGACTCCATGTTGAGTGCTAACCCCTCTGTATACATTTCTTCCTGAAGTGGCCAGTGGAGAAGCAGGAAACCAGGTGTTCTGGCTTTTTGTGTTGCTAAGTGCATATTCGCCTTCGAATAGGCCTCAGGCTCTTTTTGAGCAGAGGATGGGGCTCCCCTGCCTCTGGCGTCCCACCTCGTGGCCTTTCCCCACGGGGGCTCGGTGGATGGAAGCGAATGAACTCTGACCTGATGAAGTCAGCTGCCTTTAGGACCCTTGGGCCGGAGGTGCCTGTCCTGTGGGGTAATTTCTGGTCTTGCCGTACAGTCAGAAAGTCAAATAGACTTAAAGACCATGAGCTGCTCTAGAATTCCAGCTGTCTTTCTAGGCTATGTCCAGACAAACCGCAGGGTTCTGTCGGGTTGTAAATGAATTTTGCCCGAGTGGTTGATTCAGTGACAGGCCGGCTCACGTTTAGAGTCCTGTGAATGCCATCTAGGCAGGTACAGGGTGCATTAAATGGCAGAGCCCACAGCTGTGTTATTTGTTTTTACTGCCAAATTTGTAGCACAGATGAAACATTGCCCAGGAACTTTCAAAGTACTGAAATACGTGGCTTTTAGGTACAAGAACCAAATGCCACTTTTTATCTGGGTTCACATCAAGGACAATTTATTAGGCTTTTAAAAATATATATTTTTCTAAGAAGTCACTACTGATGTTTAAATAACACACAGAACAAAAATAACCAAATTGCCAGAGCTCAGCAAAGGAGCCTGCTATTAAAGGAAAAAGCTCGCTCCTCTGGGACTAGCTTTGTTAGGACTGGAGCGAATATTTTCAGAAACAGCTCCCGAGAATGTTTTCACTGTAGTTGTAAATGTATCAGGAGAGCAGAAGGCAATGAGGTCAATAAGATCCTTCCATTCACACCGAAAGGGACTCACAGACCCAAAAGTATACTCCACTGTAGCAATTATGCCATGAATTTTACTTGCTCAGTCTTAACCTGAGGACTGAGACAGGAGGTGTGTAGTGTGTGAGCTAGAATGTACTCTTTACTAATTGATGTCACAGCAACCCAGCACTGACTTCCGGTCTGGTCGAGCCTTCGGTCGTAATCAGTTGTTAGGACCCTGTCTCTATTATATAGATCACACTTTGATTGGTTGAATGGATGACCAGACACTTAGCATATTAGGCTTTTATTATATAGGAGCTATATATCTCCTTTTACAATTTAGCAGCCAGAGTTGAGTTTACTATCATCTACAGACTTATGGGATTCCATGGTTGGAAAAGACCGCGTAATAGCAGTAGATATGAGTCCTTGGGCCAGTGCAGCCAGATAACTGAGAGAGGTATTAGTTTTGATCTGTAATGAGGGGCATCTAAGTGGCCACTAGCGGGGGCCAGAGAAACCATCTAGACGTATGGGACAGTGGAGCTGAAGGTGTATGGAACCATTGCACATAGCTGAGCCCTAGCCTTGTTTATAAAACGTAGAGGGAGCAAGCTGGTTCTGAGTCCCAGGGGTTCCCGTACGCCCACATCATTGCTACAGAAGCTCCCATGAATCACTTATAAGGCACTGAGCACAGTGCCAGGCCCGTAGGAGTGTGCTCATCAACGTTATAGCGTGCCTGCCACCGTTAAGATCTTTGAGAACTGGACCTCAGTGAGGGGGCCTCCTCTATGGTGTAGGTATTATCATGCATGTTTTGCAGAGGGAGTGGAGGCTCACAGAGGTCCCCTAATTCGTCTGAGGTTATGCTGCTCGGACTTGCTGAAGCTCCCACTTGAACTTGGGTAGATTAGGGACCAGAGCCTAAGCTTCAGAACACCACCCTTCAGTGGTGCTGCCAGTCAAGTGCTGTTCTCTCTCCATTAAACATTCCCTGAGGATTTTCCACATGTATAGGTAGGTGGGCAGGCCCTTGGGGAAAGGCTCACATGCCATATCAGTGACTGCACCCTCCTGAATTCTACAAAGGGTTTGAACCAGCTATTCCAAGCATAAAAGTCTGCGGAAGTTTTCCTCTGTGTCGTGCTGCTTTTATTTTTGCCTTGGTTTCGGTTTTGCTTTCCCTTGTTAAGGACACCTCTCTGACACATTGGGCCCTGAGGACAGCAAGACCAAAGAGCTGACCCGTCTCTGGAAGTGCTGAGCGAGCCTGGACTGTTGCTTCTCAGGGGATGGAGAGGCTGCTCTTATGGACTGGTGATGTGGCTACACGGCCCTGGAAAGCTTTGGGGGCATATCTGGTGTTGGAGAAGTTTCTGTGCCATTTTCCCTAATGAATAGAGTTAAAAAGCCAGCTCCCAAGGTCGTTTGCCAAACTTCCCCGGGGTGTAGTGGGATGCCCCATAGACTGGGCTGGGTCTTTGACAAAAGCTGGGAAGGAGAGTATTTTATCACAGAGAAACGCCTACGAGAGTGACTGTGAACTTAGGTTGCAAGTTATGAGGATTGAGTGTACAGTGGCCATGTTTCCTCCTAAATCAGAGGGTACTTACTTGAGAGGAGAGTGATAAAAGGATATTGTATTCAACCTTGCAAGCTGACCTGCGGGTGACAAAGGACACAAACAAGAAAGGTGACATGTCAAGTCTGTGATGCAGTCCAGCAGGTGAATTATTTTGTTGGAAGCCATGCACAAAGACAGAGAAAGAGGGAGAGAGAGTCCAGTGAATGACAGCAGAGTCTGAGCCACCAAACAACCATCATCTATAAACACAAGTTCACAGCGCCGTCCAGGAAAACCACTACAACGCTCTCCAGGGCATCTGCCTTGAGTGGGGACACATGGGCCTGTTATAATCTCCTAGCCCCCTTCTTCTCCTTTCCCTTGAAGTCACCAGGCATGGGAAGGAAAGGAGAGAGAGAGGCTTAAGATTTACCAGAGATGGCAAAAGCTCCAACTGGATCTTAAGCCACTAACAGAATTTCCCTTCATCCTACACAGACACGGTTAAATTCCTAATTCATTAAAACAACGGCAATAAAAATCGAATATGTTATATGGAATGGCTGCCTCCCTTTAAAATAAAACCCAGAGCTTGGCCAACATGGCTCAATGGCTGAGCGTCGACCTATGAACTAGGAGGTCACGGTTCCATTCCCGGTCAGGGCACAGGCCCGGGTTGTGGGCTCCATCACCAGTAGGGGGTGTGCAGGAGGCAGCCGATCAGTGATTCTCTTTCATCATTGAGATTTCTCTCTCTCACTCCCTCTCCCTTCCTCTCTGAAATCAATAATAAATAATAAATCAATAAATAAGTAAATAAATAAAATAAAACCTAGAAATTTGGTTACTGTTGCCACCCAAATCCGGAAACTGATATAAGCTCCAACAGCACGAGCCAGAGTATTGATGATTTCACTGTATCTCTCTCTCCCTCTAGGCAGGAGCGCCAAATGAGCCATGTGCGAACATCCCTCAGATTCCCACACACACCCTGGCAGCTTTGTCCAGGCTAATTTCCTCCTGTGGATGGGGCCATGGAAATCACAAAGCAAGAGCCTTCTCCGTGGGTCTGGACCTTAGGCGACTCTGTGTCTGCAGCGCTGAAGCATGGCATTACACATCTAGTCACTGGCTTGGCTATTTTTTATGACGAGACCCACATGCTACTTGCTTCTGAAATGTGGGTGTTAAGACACAAGGGCAGATGGAACACCCCAAAGAGGCCAAACCTTTGCTTCCTGGTGTTGGGGTGGGGCTGAGGGCTTCAGTTGTCCTCTTGCTACATTCTTCTTGGGAAAATATTTCAAAACTTAATTTATAAACATATGGGAAATAGAAGAGACTTTGTTCTCTCTGCTACTCTTTTACTAACAGAGAGAGCCGCTGCTGAGCTAAGAACGTGGAGAAAGCCTGACAGTGAAATAACCTGCTGGGGTCTGGGGAGCAGCAGGTCTGACAGGCAAACACCCCTGAACTCCCTGAACCCCAAGAAAACACGGTGGGCTACAGGGAAAGGAAACAGACCAGAAAGACCCACATGGCCATGGCGCAGCCTCCAGCGGGGAGAACGCATCCCTTTAGGATGAGCTACTGCACCTGTTACGTTCAGTGAATTCTCAGGTAGATGAGTGTAGTCCAGTCTATACGAAAATCTGTCCATCCACACTCTGAGGATCCTGGGGCCCGCAGACCCCCAACATGCCTCGGCGAGGGAGGCTGAGGACCAATGAGGAGATATCTTTATGCTGATTCAGTTGCCTTGTGCCAGATCAAGGCATACAGATATCTCCTCATGCCCCATCTATGAGAACAAGCATCTTTGCTGATGATCCAGGAGGGGTATGGACTGTTCATCACCAGGTTTCTGCTGTGTGACAAGACCCCTTTTCAATTTCCAGATCAGAAGTTATCACACAGGGTGAGTGATGGCTATAAGAAATAGTTGGAATTTTTAGTGTCTAGAATACATGGACTAAGGAGTATAGTCAGAGTATTCCAGAAAGGGAGGGTGGAAGGAAGAAGGTACTGGTTTATTCTAGTTATGTAAAAGACCCAGCCACCTTGGGGCTGGGGCGGAAGTGGGGGATGGTGTGGGCCCGGCCCCGGTACCTGGTAGGCCTCGTCCTGCAGCCTCTGTTTCAGGTATTCCTCCATCTTGAGCTCGTTCTCCAGCTGCCGGACCGAGTCATTCTCGTAGTTCTCCTCCTCGGGCCGCGCATAGGGATCCCCATCTTCTGTGACCCTGGGAACGAACCATAGATGGGGTTTTGGAGCAAATCTTAAAGGGAAAGTCTAAGTGAAATTCATGTGTGAGCTGTAGTTTGCAGGGAACATTTTATTTGTCTTCCAATTCACTCCAATTCAGTGTCTTCTGTTATCAAACAGAAAACTTAAAAAAAAAACCCACTGAAATAGATGGTCAATGCATTCTCATGCAGTTTTCCTAGGCGCTGTGGTGATAGGTCACCCATGTTTTTCTAGGGTTTACAGGAAGGAGAGCCCTTTCAATGTTTGTCAGTCTTAGAAAAAGCAGCTTATCTTTCAGGAGGATATAGTTTTCCTGATATGGGGATTTAAAAAAAATTTTATAAATGGAATCCAAGAACGCTTTCTCTAAGGAAAGTGAGCCCTCTAGTGAAATAAAGCTTGAGGACATTTGTTCCTAATTTAACCTTCTCTGCATTCTGCACGCGTGTAGGCGTGCTTTATTTTCATAGTGGGATCAAGTCTCAGAATATCAACCAGTCATTGTCAGCAAGCGTAACACTCTAACCCACAGCTCTTGATCTCAAAGATGTATACCAGCTCCAAATCTAAGAAATCCACTTAAGTTGTCCCATTTCACTATGAAATAGATAAGAATGACCGCCTTCACCAATGTGTGACTATCTCCATCTATTCACCCCACATTAAAACACCCTCTAAAATGAAGAGTGCTCAAGGAGAAGTTTCTGGATGGGAACTTAAATGCCATGGCTAGTGTTTATTTATATCTGTACAACATGTTCTCATTATTTTTAGAGGTTTGGGTCCAGCATGAATACGTCTGCGAGGCCTCTATGAGTTTTCTCTACCCAACTCCCGTGGCCGGAACCGCCACCAGCATCCTGGGGACAGTAGTGTGGGGTGGCTTTAGCTACAGTCTTGGATCTTAGGATCCGAATGAGGACATTTTAAGTAACCACCTTGTAAAAGGTTAATCATAGGAAGTCAAATGGGTATGTGTTTACTAGACTAAAACTGGTGATAATGACTTCACCATTTTGAATAACAAATAATTCTCAATGACCGAGGAAAGGACAAGAGAGCAAACTAAAATGAAAAGCAGCCCCGTTAAATGACGTTAGAGCTGATGTGTCCTGCTCTCACGCTCGGCCTCTCCGCAGCTGGCTTCCCCAGCACGTCTATTTATAATTCCCCATTGTGACTGGTCGGTCTTTCACTCCCTGCTTGGATTGGGAGCCAAACACCAGGGAGGCCTCTGTTTAGTTTCTCCTTTGGGTCTTTAAACAGCCATTGATTTTTGTAGACGAGTCCTCAGTACTTTTCACAGGAAGCACCATCACCTTCTAGAGTTGCTTGGAATGGCTAGCAATTCCCCTTTCCAGCCTTGTGGTGAACCTCTGCCCACGCTTATCACAACCCCGTGAACCCCGCTCTCCTAGAGGCCCCTCCCCTTCCCCGCCTTTGTTTTCCTCTTTCCCCTCCCACAACTGGGCTCTGCAGCTCGGGCCTGTGTCACCCTCCTTTCTTAGCTTCACCGAAAGTCTGGTGGGGACGTCACTGATTCTGCTGGCTTCTGTCAGGGCACAGAAGCCTTATTGGGTGAAATTCTTGCAAAATGTCTTTTAAGGGTCAGATTTGTACATATTCAACAAATCAGCCACATTGGATTTCTTTATAATGAGATTTTATACATTTACGGTCTCGTGCCACATACGAAGCTTTGGTCAAGGACCCACCGTATATAGGACCGTGGTCCCATCTATATATATATAAAAGCCTAAGTGACCATTATGACTGGTCAACCAAATGACTGGTCACTATGATGTGCACTGACCACCAGGGGGCAGATGCTCAAAGCAGGAGCTGCTCTCTGGTGGTCAGTGTGCTCCCATAGCCAACCTTCCGTGGCCAGCCAACCTTCCATGGTCCCTCCCCCTGGCCGGCTGGCCCTAATTGGCCCTGATCTCTGGCCAGGCCGAGGGACCCCACCCATGCACGAATTCGTGCACTGGGCCTCTAGTGAGATTATAATGGAACTGAGAAATTCTTATTGTATCCTGACATCATTGTTGTCATGTGTTTGTGGTGATGCTAGTGTAAACTGACCCACTGCTCTGCCAGTTGTATGAAAGTACAGCATATACAATTATGTACAGTACATTATACTTGATACCGGTAATAGGTGACTGTGTTACCGGTTTATGTATTTACTATATGTTATAGCGTTATTTTCTACTTACAAAGAGTTTTCTGTTAAACAGTATGCTGTGTTATGGTGGTAGTGCCCCGAACATCTCCTGGTTACCTTGTCTCTGATTGCATCAATTTCTCTTGTGCTTGATTTAACCTGATGTTATTTTCTACAGCGACACACTGTAGAGGCTTGTGGCCTAGGAGCCATCGGCTGAACCATAGAGCCTAGGTGTGTAGCAGGCTGGATCACCTAGGTTTGTGTAAGCACACTTTATGATGTTTGTACAATGACCAAGTCGTTTAACAATGCATCTCTCAGGACATATCTGTTATTACGTGGTGCGTGACTGTATATATTTCGATTCCTATTGCTTATATGATGCTGTTCATCCTGTTCTGAAGAGAAGCCTCCAGCATCAGTGGGTCCTCCAAGTGCAAATACAGAAGATTCTGAAGATGGGATGACTGACCTCCTAAACTGGTCTGTGAGCCCTGGGAGGTTGGGAGTGATTAAAAAAAAAATACTAGTTTGTATCAAACCAGCACAGTTCCTTGGGGGAGCCAGGCTCTCAGTAAGAACTGGTTGTTTTGGTGACTGGTGCTCTCTGGAAATTGTGAGGGGAAGTCACAAGGCCAAATGCAAACGTAGCCCCTTTACCTCTTCTGTCAGAAAAGGAAGCTGCATCATCTCTTCTCAAAAGAAAGATCAAAACAACCATGTTTTCATTTTTTTTTGCTCCCGACAGTGTCCTGTTACTGAGGCAATCCCTCCAGCAGGAGATACTCACACATCACTGCGCATGGCGCCTGGGGCGGCTCCGCCGTGCACGTACCCGGGTTTCCGGGCGTGGATCTGCGCTAGGAAAGCCTTTTCCGAGGTTGGCGATGGAACCAGGTCCTCAAACTGAGTCCTTGCAAACTCAGAATCCACATTACTCTCCGTTTCACTCCCCACCTCTATGAGGTACAATTGAAGAAATAAAGAATGACTTGTTAGAGAGTCTATGATCAGCAGGTACAGGGCAAGGCTTAACATAAACCCACCTGCGCTGCATAAAATATTAGCCAGTTATTGTAAGTCAAGTGTTTATTTCCATTCCAAATGAGAATGGAAACTGAACATGAGTTACTGTAAAATCATCTGGTACACAGCATTGTATTTTTTTTTAAAGTATGGGTAATGTTATAAGGAATCTTTTGAGTCTTAATAAATTACAACCTCTGTTTTGCTTCTATGTAGTCTTCAGTAAAAACTGCTACTTTTGCTTAATGTTACTTTAATTTAGGAAATATAAACTCAAAGTATTACATTCACTTAATATTTCAGAGCATCATCTATAATAATAAAAGCATAATATGCTAATTAGACCAAACGACCTTCCGGACGAAGCTGGGGCTGTGAGGGAAGCCCGGGTCCCAGGTGCCTTCTGGTGGCTGGAGGGAAGCCCGGGTCCCGGGTGCCTGCCGGCGGCCAGAGGGAAGCTGGTGCCGGCAGCCAAGGGAAGGAAGGCCTACTCTGGCACGAATTTTGTGCATTGGGCCTCTAGTAAGAGTATAAACTAATAGTACTTGAGACTTCTACAATAAGAATAACATTTTTAGTCATCTCCATGATATATTAACTACTGCCATTTTTATCCTATTTGGTAATCTTAATCTAATATAGCAGCAACAAGTTTCATTACTTTAATTCATTTTATAGAGATTTTAAGAAATTTAAATCCCAAGTTTTTAATATCGAAGTTTTATTTCTTATAGTTGTTGTAATCTCAACTACATGACAGTCAAATATGTTGCTATGTGTGCTTTAAGGAATAGATGAGATGCATTAGTAACTGGTAGGATAGTTATTTGAATATTCATTATTTGAATAACATTTTAAAAGCTCTGTGTAGCATTATGAGGATAAAGAGACTCTCACAATTTTGTGCTATTTATATTCTGGGCAGATCTACCTTTAGAGATACTGCAAAGGTAAATTTCAGGTTAGTCTCATTCAAATAGCCATACATTTCCCATGAACAGAGTCTAAATTAGTAAATAAAACATCTGACCGTAGGAAATCACTTCTGTATCTTGTCACCTGAGAGATGTTAACAGTGACTCTCGTTGGCTTCTTGAATTACAAGTCAATTTAAATATTTTTTTATCTATTCTTTTCTACACTATTAAACTTTCTGCATTAAGCATGTATTAATAATCTTCTCATCAGCTAATAGAAACATCAGTTAAAAACCTGCATATGGCAACCAAATATCACATAGATCTTCAAGAAAACCTGTGTATATTCGACAGTGAGCAGATCTCTCACAGAAGCCCCGAGAACGTTTGGGTTCCTCTGCAAAGAGCAGACAAATGAGGGGACCAGGGACACACCGGAGTTCAGCTCTTTCACCAGAGAGGACATGGTGTTAGTGATGGAATCAGCGGCCACTAGCAAGTCATTCCTTAGGTTTCTTCTTGAACCTTAAGTGAAGAAGAAATGACAATAAATAAGTAAAAATCAAAGCTTTTCCTTTGCCCGAAATTTTAGGCTGTTGATCATTTCCAAGGCCATTCCTGAGCAAGAAACATTCCAAGGCGTCTCCTTCACAGGTGCGCTGTGGTCACTTCCTGAAGAGGACACTGTGCTCAGGGCCGTGGCCTCTGGCGTAGGAAGACATGGCAACCGATGGGGGTTCATGTAATTTAGTGTCCAAACTGGGACAATTCTGCAAGCGAATGAGGGAGGTGTGAGTAATAAGACAAGGTGACCCAGGTAAAGCAGTGTGTGTGATGGCCCTTCTGAAGAACAACCCACACAGACAAAGGCCTAGCTTTTGCCGGGAGAGCCGCACCTTCCTAGCTGCCTCGATCATTTCAACCACTACCTGGTGGCCAAGCCCATGGGATTCTATCTCTATCACGGCAATCAGGCCTTGTGTCCAATCAGGCCACCCCGTGCTCCCCTTCCCCTTACAGGTACCTCGTGGGAATGGGAGCCCTGTGTACTGAATGCCCAGAGCACGGAAAAGAGGTGGGGATTCTTGCTCTGGCTGCAAGGCATGTGCACCAGATGTATGCCCGGTACCCTGAACTGGAACTCAGCCCATGTTTCTTCATGGTGGAGAGAGATTAGCACGATGTTCCAGGCACACTAAGGGTGAGATGCGTCTCTGTGGGCTGGCTTGGGGGCAGGCAGGGCTGAGATGGAACAGAGGGGCGATCACCATAATCTTTGGAAAAAAAGGGACCAAGATGCCAAATATCTGACTTACAGATGAATTTGTGCAGCACAAACTCTTTGTGAGCTTGGCCACATTTCATTCTGTCACTTCTCAGAAAGTACAACTAAGTTAGTGAAAGGATAGATACATGAAAATTTAAAAAAATCCTAGTAGTTAGATGAAACAGTAGTTCTAATAGGAAGCCCAAACTGATTTAAAATGTCCTTAAAGTAAGATTTAGGGAAAGGACATTTTTCCTTCTAAAAATTAAAGTAAAACCTAGTTATTTTGTATAACTTAAATTATTTTCTTTTTCAGGAGAAAAAGCCCTATTATGAATCTTCCCTTTCCCCTCATAAGAGAGAATACATCATTCTTCCCCTGGTAAAATGTCAGATTGTTGTCCCCATACACAATAGGTGAGAGGGCCTGTTTCCTCACACTTTTCTGTATCTGGATATTATTGATTTTTTAAACATCTTTTCATATTGTTATTGGCCATTTATAATTTCTCTCTGTTCATATCCTTCACCTATTTTTATTTTGGGGATGTCTTCTTACTGATCTCTACATGCTTTATGTCTAACGGAAATGATAAAACTTAACTGCCATATATGTTGGAAATGGTTTACTCAAAACTATTTTATTTTTGGTCTTCTGACTTTTTGCCTTCGGATAAATTCCCAGAAGTAGAATTGCTGTCTTTCTTGACCTCAGATCCATAGGTAAGAACCTGGAAGAATGCCATGATAAATTGGTAATTTAAAGAAAATGTAAATTATGAACCCAAATAAGCATTAGCTTATTTGTGTGAAAAATAAAGAGTATATGTCTATAAAATACACTTAAACATATCTATCTATGTATCTGTAAGTGGAAAGTGGGGAAGGACCAGACTATTGATAGTGTTCACTTCCAGGAATGAGATCAGCAGGATGAGGGTCTGCAGGAGGATTCCCCCCCCGCCAAGCCCCGCCCGCGCCAATTTTTTCCAAATTTAAAAAATAACGGCAAGAAAAGATTTAAAAATTGTTAAAATGTTTTCAAATGAGTAAAATCACTTGCCGTGGGATACGTCCGCACCTTGAGTGTGTAAATGGAAGAGGCCACCAGTGAGAGAACGCTGTTTGCCACCTCCTTTCAGCTTTGCGCTCCTCTCTTAACTACGGAGGCCTAACTGGGTAGACCAGTGGGTCTCAACCTTCCTAACGCCGCGACCCTTTAATACAGTTCCTCATGTTGTGGTGACCCCCAATTTCATTGTTACAAATTGAACATAATGAAAGCATAGTGATGAATCACAGAAACAATATGTAATTATATATGTGTTTTCCGATGGTCTTAGGCGACCCCTGTGAAAGGATCGTTCGACCCCCAAAGGGGCCGCGACCCACAGGTTGAGAGCCGCTGGGGTAGACCCATATTATAGAGGCAGACCCAGCTCTTAAGGGCATCTGTAGAAGGACTGCCCTTCCCTCTTGATCACAGGCTAAAGAGCTGAATTGTTTCATCTCAATCTTGAGTTTGCTTTCACGCAGAGAAGCAGGAAATGAGATCTTTCAGAATTTAAAACATGGATTCCATGGATAGTTTCCTGAGATATTCGTGAAAGGATTTCCCTTCCCTTAATGGGCAAAGACGCATAAGAAATGGGGCCGGGCAACAGAAACCTCAGGAAGGAAAGATGGTGAGGTGCAGAACAGATTAGACGGGAGTCTCTAAAACTGCTCCCGGCCAGGCTCTGCCTCACGCCATGGAATAGCCTAGAACATGCCCCGCTTTAGACTGTTCAAAGGACCGCGGTGACTTGTTTATCACATAAAAGCAGAACACAACAAAAAATAAAGCCACTTACTTTGTGCAAACGCCTCCTGCACGTCTCCCCCTACCCCTGTGAGAGAGTCCTGAGGCGTGTGGGCCGGGGTGGAACAGGTGGACGCAGACCGCACGGGCATGGGGATGGGCCTGCTGATGGTGTGGCTGGGGGAGGAGCGAGGAGAGCCTGCCCCCTGGGTCTGGAGAGACAATGCGAGCCGTTAATGTGTTTTCCCAAGAACATGCCACATGTCACCCATCCCCAAGGCCTCAGTCAAATGTTAACAGTCACAATGACATCTCAAAGCGCGAGGAAATCCTAGGTTGTTGAGATGGGCGTCCTAAACCTTCGTTGCAGGTGCAGGAGATGTAGGACCTTATTATATTATCTGAACTTGCGGTTGTATCTTGAAAGCTAAGACTATCAATAGAGCATTGTTCGATACTATATGAGCTGTGTCCCTGGGTAATGTAGCTACTGTTAAGCAGCGGTAATGACAAGGTGTGCCTATTTTTTCCTTGAGGAAAGTGCTACGTGGAATAAAGAGCCATCTAAGGAGAAAGTTATAAGTATAAACTCAGGGACTTTTGGGAGCTGGGTCTGGTCTGTACTCCTAATTTTTCAACCTGTCTGTCCTGGCCTCATCTGGCGAGGATAATGTAGAGTTAAGTCATGCATGCAGTACTGTGCACATTAAGTCTCATAGTAAGCATCAGACCAGGCATACGTTTTTAAATCACGATTTTACAGTAAAAGTTGATTTTGTCAAACTGCTCAGTGGTTCGTGGATTCCAATGGGGAAGAGAAGAAAAAAAGGGAGTCTGAGTTTCTAACTTCGGGCAGCTGTTTCCCTGTAGGAAGTGTCTCTCTCTTCGTCTACACAACAGCAGCATTCCAGCAGGCAGAATAGTAAGATTTAAAGTGAGTGAGATTTAAAGTGAGAATAGTAAGATTCTAGTTGTGGAAAAACTAGAATTTTCATTACTGTGGGTGGGTGGGAAGGCAAATGAAATGACAATTTTAGAACACAGCTAAAAAAAGTAGAAAACAG